CCCCGAGAGCGCCCCGCCGCTGCCCCGCGCGAAGCTCGAGGTGTCCAGATGTGCTCGGCCGCCACGCGAAGCACGCGCGCGCCAGGAAGGCGATCCAGGTTGAGGTAAAGGAGGTCGCGAAAAGCTTCGAAGGCAAGGCCACCACGCGTGCGCGCTTGACGAAACTGGCCGAGAGGCACAAGGACTAGCCCGACTTGCCAGATAATTTGGACACCGTACCTCCAGAAACAGGCGAAGCAGCTTGGCTTGAGAGCTGAGCGGGCTGGGCCCACTGGGGGCGGCTCGATTGCGTCGTGCGCGGCGGAGCCAGAGCCCTTGAAGGCGGACCTGAACGCTGTTTGGTCAGACGCGTCGGAGCTCGCCGAGTTCCTGGCACGCGCGCCTTGGCATGAGGGAGAGACCTGGCTGCTGTGCATAGCACCCGCTGGTCCAGGCTTCTCTTTCCGCCCCCTCATCCTCTTTGTTAATGTCCAGCTGAAGCTGGGAGCGACCGCCGTGGAGAGACCCTCAAGGCATTTCGTAACTTTCTGGTGCGAGTTCCTGGTTCGTCCCTGCAGATGTTGAAAAGGAAGCGCGTCCTCTGCCGTCATCTGTCCGCCCCTGGTCTGCTCTCCCCGTGCCTCCTCCTCTTCCTCCTCCTCCTCCTCTTCCTCCTCCTCCTCTTCCTCGTCCATTATAGCTCAAGCGCCCCCTGCTCTGCGAGACGCGGCTGCGGGATGCAGTGGCCTAGGAGGGTTCCCTCGGCCCACGGCGTCTCCTTCGTGGAGGCCGCCGTGCGGGCCGCAGTGCTAGTTGGGGCGCCTCGGCGCACCGTCGCGGCTGTTGCGCGCTCGGCCATCTCCGCCGCGCTCCTCGCGCGCGAAGCCGACGGCCGAGGCGGCGCTTGCTGCTGCGGCCCCCTCCGAATTGCGTTGCCTGCCGGTTCGCCGGCCGCCCCTGCGGCGATGGCGAAATGGCGGCGGCGCCGACGCCGTGCCTTCGCAACGCGGCATGCCGAGGAAACGCCACCCGGTGCTGCTGCCGCGGCGGCTGGCGCGGGGTCTGCTGCTGGAGCTGTTGCCTTGGGCCCTGGGCCCGAGGGAGCGGCGGAAGCAGAGGCGCCTGACACGATGGAGGAGGAGGTGCTCGACGACGACTGGGCCAACCATGTCCCCGTTGTGCTATCTCCTCGGTGGTTGGCGGTGCTGCGAAGGCGTGCGGCGCTGACCGAGCAGTACCGCCAGAGGCTGGGTGTTTCGGCCGCCGACGTCGTGCAGTTTTCCACCCTGCCGCTCGGCGCGTTCCGCCGCATCTCGGCCAAGCGGACGCCTTCCAGCGCTGGCGCGGGGAGGGGGAAGCAGCGGGGAAGGCGCGATAATGCCGTGCCCCCCGTGGGGGGAGGGGGGGGGGAGGGGGCGCCGCCGCCTTCCCCCCCTCCATGCCCATGGAGTTCGCCGTCGGCGCGCTCCACTTCATGTTCCTCTCGGGCCGCCCGCGGCCCCGACCCACCGCCTCTCGGCTTCTGCTCGCTCGCTCGCTCGCTCCTCCTCCTCCGCCTCCTCCTCCTCCTCCTCCTCATCCTCGTCCTCCTCCTCCTCCTCCTCGTCCTCCTCCTCCTCCTCCTCCTCCTCCTCCTCCTCCTCCCCCTCCTCCCGCTCCGCCCCAGACCTGGGGTGGAATACTTTTGTCCCATCCCCGCGTTATTCTTCGTCTTCGGCGTCCAGGGGGCCTCAGTGACCCTCCTCCCTGGCGGACAGCGCGACAGCCCCCGACGTCTTCCCCCTGGTGCACTTGTTCGTCCCGGGTCAAGTTTTGATGTGCCACCCAGGGCCCGAAGAGGGGGAGGGCCCCCATCCCGCCTTTACCCCTTCTCGTTTAGGAGACGCCCCAAACCTGAACCTCCTCGATCCTCGGTCGCCTTCGATCCGCGATCCCTTTTTCTCGATCCTCGATCCAGATCCGCCTCCTTTGCTCGACCCTCGCTTTCCCCATCCTCCGCGATCCTCTTCCGCCTCCTCGGCGCTCGGCACTCCTTCCTCGATCGTCGGCCCTCGACCCTCGACCCTCGGCCCTCCCCCTGTGCCGCGCGGTCTCGGCGCGCCGATGCGCGCACCCGCGAAAAGCTCGGCCCAGGAGGGCGCCGCGGGCGACCACGCCGCAGGCGCGGAAGCGCGCGCGCGGCGCCCGTTGCCCTCCTCGGCCGCCCGCTGCTGCTGCCGCGCCCGAAGCCGCGGCCTGCCCGTCTGGGCTGCCGATCCCCCTCCCCCGCACTCGGGGGCCCCATGGGGCCCCCAGTCCCGCCGCGTGGTGAGTCAGTGGGGATTCGGGCTCACCGCACGGTGTTTGGACTCGGGTCGTCTCCGAGGACGACGTCTCGGGCGACCAAAACCTCCAGGGTCCCAAAATCGTGTGGTCACAGACAGCGCGACGGAGAGGTCTTCTGGAATTTCGAGGTCACCACGCGGTCTGGCACCACACGGTTTTGGGACCGACGCACCCCCCCCCCACACACACACAATCACACACAATCACACACAATCACACACACATACATATACACATACATATATACCTACCTACCTACCTACCTACCTACCTACCTACCTATATATTCCTTTTCCCTATCAAATGATAAGGGAAAACCCCCCCCCGGATGGCCAGCACCTAATTCGGCCCTCCCCCGATGATCCGAGCCGGCCCGAAAATACAATCAGGACGGGCCACGACCGGTCCCAGAGAGGTTCACGAGTGCTCCAGGAAGGCTCCAGACGGCCCCAGACCCGTCCAAGAGAACCGAAGATCGCCCCAGACAGCCCACGAAGCCCTCAAGACACCCCAAGAGGCCCCACAAAAGGTATCCCAAGAGAGCCCCGGGAGGCCAAAATCGTTGATTTTCCAATGTGTTTTTCGACGTTTTCGTTTTCTCGCCTTTTCATGTCTCCGACGCTCCAAGACAGCCCAAAAGGCCCTCAAGAGCGCCCCAAGACAGCCCCGGAGCCCCCCAAGACAGCCCTACAACGTCCCCCTGCTGGCTCTGGAGGGCCCCCAAACAGGTCAAGAGAGCATACGAGAGCCCCGATCAGGCCCCAAGAGGCGTCCTACAGGGCGATCAACACTTTCAAACTCACTTTTTCCACCCCGAGAGGGCCCCAGGAGGCCCCCCAAAGCCCCGAGAGGCCCCATGAGGGTTCCAACAGGCTCCAAAGAGGACCCCAAGAGCTTCCAAAAAGACCTCAACAGTCTTCCAAACTCGTCTGCCACATGACCTCCCCTGCGGCCAAGGCTGACGCGAGGCCAAATAGAATCTCCAGAGGCCCCGTCGCCGACCAGATCACCAGAACCACCCCACACCCCTAACACAAACGAGAACAACCCAAGGACCCCCAAGAGACCCGTAGAGGCCACACTTCTACATGTTCGCAAGGTGTACGTTTCGTGCTTATTTTCTCACGTGCCTCGGAAGCGCCCCGAATCCACCGACCAGCCAACAATGGTCCATGACATACGTTTCCTGGGATTTCTTCCGTAGGTTTTGGCTCCAGGTTTCCGCTGATGTTCCCTCTCACTGGATGCCGCCTGACATGGCCGACGATGTCCACCGCCCGCCGATGTGCCGCGCATGCTCTGCTCAGCACACCTACTACCTTCAACACGCAGGCCCGGGGCATTTCACTCCTGCCTGTGGCAGCAACCACTTCCATCGCAGCCTTTCTGTACACGCGCCCTGCGTTTCCAGCACAGTGCGCGGGTGATGCTGGCTCTCCCGCCGTGCGCAAGCGGCCGGCTTCCCGCGGACGCCCCAGCGCAGACACGCTGCATTGCACTCGTTGCGATCAGGACGTCCCGCGGCTGGGCTTCAGCACATACCAACGCAGACGAGCCTCCCGCGTATGCATCGCTTGCACCGGCAGCGCCCCTCAGACTTCCGGCCTCTCCCGGCAACGACCAGAAGTATGTTGCGTTCGTTGCGGGCTCACCTTGCCAAGGGAAGCCTTCGCCACCGACCGCGACAGGTCGCTTGACAGCGTTTGCCGCGACTGCAGCGTAGTGGGCCGACCGTCCCTTGAAGACGTGCCGTTCTCCGTCGGAGAAATGACCCGCATTTGCCCACATTGTTCGGCCTCCCTCTTCCATACCGAAGCACCTACGTTCTGCTGCGGCAACGGCAGGTGGGCCGTCCCATTCGAACGATTCTTCTCGCTCCCACCTCCCGCTCTCTTGGAGATCTTCCGCTCCACTTGGCCAGCTCGGGACGCCGCGGGTCAGCTCTTGCACGATCCCACCACCAATTCTGTTCGTTTGACAGGATTCACGGCCACCAGTCGACGCTACAACAACTTATTCGCACTGGCTGTTCACGAGATCCAGAGCGCTGGGGCTACGAAGGAACTCCGATTCGGGAACTATATGCGCCCCTCGAACCTCCGGATCCACGGCACGATGTACAGACGAGTACTCACGGCTGCCGACTCCACCGCCGTGAGATATCTCGTCGTCGACCCTCACGAACGCGTTCGACAAGCTACTGCGTTGCAGTTGGACCTGCCGCTACTTCGTCGCCTCGAACGCCTCCTGCTGCCCATCAACCCTTTCATGACTGAAATCAAGAGGCTGGGAGCCCTGCGTCGCCCAGGCCCGGACGCAGCGGTGCACTTGAAATGGGACGAAGGTATCAACGAGCTCGCCGCCATCGTCGACGCGCGACCTGACAGCCACGCTCAGCCTCGCACAGTCACATTCCGACTTCACTCCTCCACCACGCCCAAGTACCTCCATCCACTACACCCTTTCTACGAGCCGCTGTCCTACCCATTGTGGTTCCCATCCGGCGGGCGTGGGTGGAGCCCGGATGCCACGGTCAACGGCGCGCACATCAGTCAAATGTGGTGGTACCGCCAATGCATACTACGGTTGACACACATGCACGCTTGCGGACGACTGCTTAACGAATGGCTCATCAACATGTACTGCCGGATGGAGGACGAAAGATTGAGCCTCCTCCGCCGTGATCAGCCCAAGCTGCGTGGCACTCGGCGTCAAGTCTGCGAGATGGTCGCTAACTCCCCCAGTCCAGAGCCCTCTGCGACTCGCGTGTTCTTGCCCTCCAGCGTGCCGGGCTCCCCGCGCCATCTCCGACGTCTTCGAGTCGACTGCTTAGAACTGGCGCGACGTAAAGGACCGCCTACCTTCTTCATCACCTTGACGTGCAACCCATACTGGCCAGAAATTCAATCCGCCCTCCTGCCAGGACAAACCGCTGCTGACAGACCAGACGTCGTCGTCCGCGTGTTTCACGCGCGCCTCCTGGAGATGATTTCCTTCCTCAAGAACGACTTCTGCGGGCGCCGAAGGTACCTCATCCGCGTCATTGAGTACCAGATGCGCGGCCTCCCCCATGCCCACATTGCTCTCGCAGTGGATAACCCGCCCTGCACGCCCGAGGAGATCGATGCTCTCATATCCTGTGAAGTTCCTCCCGAACCTGGCCCACTCCGCGAGCGCGTTCTGCTTCATATGATTCATCGGTGCAACCATTCCTGCCACCCGGACGACCCCGCCCAAGAGTGCATCAAAGGCTGCCCATGGCCGTTCGCCGACACCACCGAGATGGACGCCCGAGGGTACCCGCACCACCGCCGACGCCCGTGCTCTGGCACCTGCCCCAATTGCCAGTCCGGCGGGCCTGCATGCGGACGACGGAACGTGTGCTGCAATCGACTGGTCGTTGAGTACTCCCCCCGAATACTCTTGAAGTGGGACGGCCATGCGAACGTCAAGTTCGCCGGATCAGTCAATCTCTTTGAATACCTCTTCAAGTACCTCTTCAAAGGCCCCGACCACACCATGTACACCATTGGCTCGGAAGACCGGCCGACAGACGAAATTGCCGATTGGCTACGGGGACGGTACCTGGTAGCCACCGAGTGCGCATGGCGAATCTTCGGCTACACCACGTACGAGCGCGTGCCCACCGTACTTTGCTTGCCCGTGCACCTTCCCGACGATGACTGGGCGAACCTTGGAGAAGATTTCGAGGCCGATGCTGCAGACCACACTACGTCTCAGTTGGAGCGCTACTTCTACCGCCCCAACCGGGAGCCCTTCCTCAGCTGCAAATACACCGAGTACTTCGAACGGTTCATCGTCAGCACGACCTGCCCCGTGGCGTTCCGCGGATTCTTCCCCGATGTGTTCGGCAACCACCTCGTCGAACCGCCCCAGAGCGAGTGGCCGACCCTGTCTACACGATGGCACCGAATACCTGCAGACCTCCCTGTGCGCCCAACCACGGACATGGCGCCGCCGGGACGCCAGAATTACGTGTACGTCCGCATGCGGGGAGAACCGCCCGTGTGCCGGCTGGAGATGAAGTACCCACGGCAGAAGGACGTCTTCTACCTGCGACAGATGCTCCTCCACTTTCCCAAGAGGACCGGGCCTCCAACCTGCGCCCCCCTCTTCTTCCCCGAACGAACATTCCCTACACTCCCCCGACGGCCATCAAACTTTGCACGGTCTGTTCGATTTAGACGTTTCCGGCCCTCCCCCTCCCCCTCCACTCCCCCCACCACCTCCCCTTTCCATAACCCCCACTGTTTGCCCCCCTTCCTCCAGGAGCTTCCAAGACTGCCAATCGCACAATGGCTCGCAGTACCCTACGTACGAGGAGGCCATGCTGGCGACCGGCATGTTTGCCAAGGACGACGAGGCCGCCCGCGTTCTGCAAGAACTCGTGGAATTACGGTACACGGCCCACCAGCTGCGCTGCGCCTTTGTCGTGCTCCTCGACCTCGACGCTAAACCAGTGACGCTGTACAACGCATTCGCCCAGCACCTCATGAAGGACTTCCTCGACCGGGGGATGGCGCCGTCCACTGCCGCGGCGGAACTGAAGCAATGCTTGCGCCTTGCTGCGGCGGCGCAGGACCGCGCCGACGCGCTTGCCTTTTTGGACGCGCCCGTGACCGTACAATCAACGGGCGGACAGTCCGCCGGCAGCACTCCTCCTTCGACACCCGCGCCCGCCACGATCACCTTCCAGGCGCTCGAGGCTCGCGTGCGCAGCGATTCAGAGCAGCGCGCGGCCACCGAGACGATCACTGGACATATCGACGCCAATGCATCCAAGTTCGTCTTCGTCCACGGCGCCGCTGGCACTGG